GATCGACCACTCCTCTAGCCATCCGCACGTCGGGCATCTTTGGGATCAGGGACGATGGCTCAGACGTCTTTCGAGTGCCGCAAGATGCAGACAACAAGACTCCCTCTCCTGCGTTTGATCCTAGGTCGATCAGGAGCCTGCAAGAGCGTGCTGGATCGCCTCATACTCAGTCTGACAGGGTCGAGAGGGTGCTGTACGTGGAGAACCATGTGCCGTCTTCGGATGATCCACAAGAAGGGACGCAGGACGAGGACGAGCAGCTGCCTCCGCCAGAGATCACCACGGGCACGACAGTCGAGGAAGAGTTCCATACGCCGATCAGCCCCGGGTCGCCTATGTGGACACGTGAGCCCGAGTCCCTCGGCAACACGCTGGTTGATCTGCCCAAGGAGCCGGTGGCGCAGTCTCCCCAGCAGACGATGCACCAGACTCTCGACATCCCTTCCTTCCCGCCTGCGGTGACCATGATCGACGGTCAACCCATCCCTCAATCTGGGTCGTCAGGTCACTCGTCCAGTGACCACGGGCATGGTCAAGCTGGGTCGTTCTCTCCTCAGAGGGCGCTGAGCACCCCGAGCCCCGATCCACAGAAGTACTCGGAGTCGTACACGACTCCAGTGCTGGTGGATGAAGCTACACAGACTTCTGTTCAGCCTTCGCCCGTCTCCTCTGCCCGGCCATCGCGTCCTCTGCCGAGACCTCCTTCCCGCCAGACTTCCACCTCGCCTCGATCTTATCTATCACCTCCTCGCCCAACATTCATTCCTCCCCCTCCACCATCCTCTTCTCCCACTTCTGATCTGCCTCTCCTCATCGCTAGCCACTTGCTATCGACACATGCTGCGACGCTGCTGAGGCATTCTGGGGAGATTATTGGCACGGGCGATGTGATGAGAAAGATGGCGCGAGAGAGTTTGGAATGGGGTGGTATATTGATGGGGATGGCAGAGAAGGCGACCAGGCAGCAGCAAGAGGCGCAAAGATCCGAAGGGATGCCGAGGCAAAGGAGCGGGACTCCGTTGGCGTTTGATACCCTCATCAGATCTGGCTCCCATTCTTCTCAAGGACACGCCAGTCCTACACGATCCCAATCTCACAGCGTTGACCCCGCGCGCTCTTCATATGCCAGTCTGACCTCCATCCCGTCGCCCACCCCTGCCGTGCGCCGCGTCAGCTTCAAAGACAAAGAAGGCCGGAGCACTCCCAAGGGATCCTTGGATGAGGCGCAAATGCTCGGTCAACAAGGCTTGATGAATGTTCAGGCTGCTGAAGAGGCTTGGACGATCGCGATGAAGCATCTTGCCCAGGCTGTTGAAGACAGCATGAGTGGTGCAGGTGTTCAGGAGGAGAGGAAGGAAGCGTCCGAGCAGACTGCTGGTACCAACGAATGGAGCGAGAATGCTACAGCTGCGAGTGGTGCGCCCGAGCTCCAGAACCCCACACGCTCTTCTGTCCTCTCGTACCCCCTCGGCTCAGATGGTGGCGTATCACAGCCTGCTTCGCCTTACAGCCAACCTGGCGCTTCCTACCCAGGCATCGACCAGCAGACCTCCTTCCTCAACATGGCCTCATCTCCAGAGTCTGACACATTCGCCCAGGCTGAACGAGATGCCTCGGTGAAGCGACGGAGGATGACCATCCAGGGCACGTCGTACAGCTCAGACTCGCATGCTTATGCCAACCCCGCCAACCGACCAGTGGGGTCTTCCCAAAGGTGTGTCTCTGCTGCTGCAGCACCATCTGCCGGGCCCGGGTATACCGACGAACAGCTTCAGCTCGACGCCAGTATTCCGGGTCCTCCGAGCTCACTCCGTCGAGCCAACACCCTCGCGGTGCACTCTCCTGGAGCTCGTCGGGTGAGGCAGGGAAGTGATGAGACGCAAAAGGCGACTGCGAGTGCAGGCAGTCAGGGGACCAAGAGTACTTTGACCAAGGGATCGGGACGAAAGCTGGTGAAGAGGGAGAAGGAGAATAGGGTACGGAGCGAGGAGCCTGGGCCGACGGACAGGAACTCTATGATCGGGAAGAAGAAGCATTGGTGGTCTAGGAGGGGGAGCATTGTGGTGCGATGATGAGGGAGAGGTGGTGTATCTGAAGAACAATAGAACCATGGCTTTCATAATTAGAATTTTCCCAACCTTTTGAGCCCGACGAGACTGAACGAGACTGACGATGGACGATATTTAGAACAATTTTTCGAAATCTATACGATTGATGTGTTGATATGATCTATTACGGCCGATCTAGAGTGAATTATGGTGATGTTTGTTTTACATCACAAGTCTGGGCATCCAGAAGAGGCCGCATCGGATCTGCCATGTGGTGAAAATATCATCAATGCATGTAGATGGCGACCTGTTTCAAGGATGGGGGAGGGAGGCACATGCATGATGGTGATACAAAATGACATTATAATGCTAATCTACAATGCGTTGGAATGATGCCTATCATTTCTATGATTGTTTGGCACTGGCAACGGCCATGCCAATCGATGAACCATGGCGAGCTTCTCAGCGGCTCTTATTATACTGCGTTCGACAGTTCCCTGTTAGACCGTCAGCTCAATAATAATGAAATCAAGATGTTTGAGCGACATACAGTTTTTGACACTATCGAAAGCCTCGCTCAGCCTTCTGAGCTTCTTCGCATCTCCCGGAGGGACTGCCTCTCTCAGTGTATCATACGTATACAAGATGAACTCGTTCACCCTAGCCTCAGCTCCCACGTCCAGAAACTCTCGACAGAGTTGCTCGGACAGACCCAAAGCCGCGTAATGTCCACGTTTGTCACTGGGCGAGCCTGAAGCGTTGTATAGGGGCGAAGGAGACCAACTGGGAGGCTTTCTAGTAGGAGTTGTTGGCGGAGGAGAAGGAGGTGTCTTGGATTGGGAGGAGGAGAGCTCGGGACAGGACAGGACTTGTTTATTGTAAAATAGCCTCTTCTGATCTGTATGTTTCGTCAGCGCCTTGTTCAACTGGAGAAGGAAATTAGATGTACGGCTCTCCAAGTGATCTCTCGACAGCACCAGATTATGGAATCCCTCGTCTGTTCCTCCGTGATCCGGATGTCTTGCAAAAGACAACCCATTAAACTTGTCTTTTACAAGTTTGTCGATTTCCGCCGCCTTTGACGGATCGAGAAAGTCGGCGCTGATCTCCAAGCCAAGCTCGGCATAGTATCCGCGCTTATCATGCGGGGTGAGGCGCCAGGCGGCACGGCCTTTGGCTACAGCACCGATGGAACCCTTGATACGTTCGGCTTGCTTTTGGGCGTACGCGCTGAATCGCGTGTCTCGTTTGTCCTTGAGGGAGCTCGAGCTCCAAGATAATGTTGTCGAGCTTGTGCCCGCGGCGGGTTTGGTGGTGGAGGATGAAGGGCGAGGCGATGAAGGTTTGGAGGGCTCAGCCGTGGCTGCAGGGCTGCTGAAGAGGGACGATGAGCGTCGAGGCTCGTTGCGAACTTTGATGGAGTACGATGGCTCTGGTACTGATATACCCCGGTTCTTGATAAAGTCATCCCCGTAGCGGCTACATGCAGATCAGCACCAATTGACTCTTCCCGCCTTGTGGACTTACATTAGCTCTTCTCCACTTGCGGTCCCTCGCGGCCCTATCAGAGGCACTATATTGCCATCCTCCCACATTCGCTGTGTCATCGGGCCCCTTCGGTGCATGGTATCAAAGATGGTCGACACGACGTCGGTCGAGCCTTTGGTGGTGAGATGCCACGTAGGGGGAAGCAAGTCCATTTCGTCCCAAATGAGTCTTCCGAGCCTGCCTACTGCTCTCAAGAGACGAGGCTGAGACAAGGTGTATTAGTCAGAGCTAGCAGGTGGAGAAGGACCAAGACTCACTTTTGGCGTGCTGTCAGATGCCTGGGGTCGACCCTGGGGCCAATTCACCCGGAAATTGTGACTCTCACTCGAAATCTCTCCATCGCACATTGCGATACTCCCGTCCCTGAGATGGACTTTATATATTAAGCGGTAGACGGGCACTGCGAATACTTTCTTTGGGGCGAGTCAGCCCACACTTTTGAACCCTTGGCACAGATTCGGGACTCACTGAATCCTGTACCCTCGTAAATACATCCTCCCATCCCGCGTTCGCTACAAACTTTTGACTCTCCACGACCTTGTCCATATCCCTTTGCTCCATCTTTGGCGGTCCCAGCGCGAATTTGGGCGTATACAGCGGACTGTACAAGTCTGTTTTGAAGAACGGATCAAACGCATCATTGGTGGGACGGACCAGTGACCCGGGATTGTCGGCGGGAATATACTGGGCGAGGCGAGAGAAGGGGTCTTCAAGGATCTTGTGGTGGATGATGGTGCGCTGGCGAGCGTGGTCTCCAAAATACATGCCACTTGACGTTCGCCGGGTCAGCTCATTGCTTTACGTGCGAGTATGTCCAAGAGATGACGCACCTGGCCCAATGATCAGCCGGGACAGCAGCTATAGTAGCGCCTATCTCTGACCTCAGCCTTTGCGCTGGGGCGCCGAAATTGGTATAGCCGGTGGGGCGATGGATGGCTTCGACCATCTGGTCGTTGTAGATGGTCACTGCCCAGAAGGGTATCAAGTATGGTTCGTGATAGAGAGAGTCGGGCTATATCCCGCGAATACCATTAGCCATCGCTTTTGAGTAATATAACAACGGAAAGAGGACATACCCATATCTGGCTTAGATGTAGAGTCCTTCCCCCATCCCTCGAAAAGGACATGAAGCTCGTGGGCTGAATGAACCATATTCTTCTGTATGGATCCTGGTTGATGAGAGCATCAGCGATACTCTGGCGGGCGGAGGGCGAGGAGGAGAATGGGCGATGGCAGCATCTGGGGGCGGATGGCCGAGAGTGGGCGAAGGGTATCCGGACAGGAGGGCGGCGGGTGATGTTGGCGTGGAGGACCATAGGGACGGGAAGCCTTGACCAGGCAGCCAGGAGTACCAAGGATATCTAATAGGTCGTGCAAAATGGAATAATGATGAGTTGATAAAAGTCGCGAAAGAAACAATGAGATGCCATTTGATGCGTGCCTGGAATCGCCTGAACTATGAGCAGGTCTGGAGACCGGTCGCATGGGGTATATGTATCCCTAGGATCATGGCTATGTACTCTCCAGGTGTATCTCAGTACGTGCTCCCGGTAGCAATCATGCATATCTCCTGGCTACAATGGGGTATCTCACAGAATACCCGCTTCCTTCATCTTGCTGACCAGCTCCTGGACGTTCTCGACCTGGACACAATATCAGTATATGATCGAATGCGAACCAAATTAGCTCACCTTGGCACCGCCTGTCCTCTTGGGAGGCTCGGTAACAGAGATGGTCTTGAGTCGAGGGGTCTTGAACGGGGTCAGCTTTGAGAAGATATCGACTATCAAACCGACTTACAAAGTCAAGGTTGAGGTCTTCGGGCTTGAGGGCCTCGACCTTCTTCTTCTTAGCCTTCATGATGTTGGGCAGAGAAGCATATCGGGGCTCTGCAAACGAGTCAGCGCGCGAAATCAAACAGAGTCAAGGGGCATACCGTTAAGACGCAGGTCGGTAGTGATGACCATGGGCAACTCGCTCTCAATCTTTTCCAAACCACCATCAATCTCCCGGGTCACCTGGGCCTTACCTCCCTTCTCAATCATAACCTTGCTCGCAAAACTACCCTGTCCCCATCCAAGCATACCAGCCACCATTCCTCCGGTCGCTCCCGAGTCATCGTCAATCGCCTGCTTGCCCATCAGCAGCAAGTCAAACTTCTTATCCGTTCCCTGCGAGCGCTCGACAATGGCCTTGATAGCATGAGCGACAGAGAGGGGCTCGACGATGGTGTTCTCGGGGGTGACAATGTGAATACCAGTGTCGGCACCCATGGCGAGAGCGGTACGGATAGTGTCGATGGCCTTGGCAGGGCCAATAGAGAGGGCGGTGATGGAAGAGACGGGCTCGCCAGAGTTGGTCTTGAGACGGATGGCTTCTTCAACAGCTGCAGAGGACATTAGTGGCTGCTGGGCAGGCTCGGAAGCGGCTAACCGATTTCGTCAAACGGGTTCTGTACTGCTGTCAGCTAATGCATACGTGGTCCGGGATGACTTGCCATAGAGTGCTTGACATTGGTGTCGACGCTCTTGCCGTCTGAGGCGACCCGGATCTTGCTGCAAGGGGAGGTGAGCTCGCTCGGCCGAAGATATGGGATGGGACGTACACGGCATAGTCGATGGACCTCTTGACGGGGACGAGGATGTTGACGAGACTGGGGAGGGAGGGACGCATGGCGGGGGTATAGCTGGGGGAAGAACGAGGGAAATGATAGAGGAGATGGATCATTTCCGCTCTCGAGGGCACAGTTGTAGCCGGAGAGGTCGTTACGTAAACACCGGCCGTTGCGCGCATCATCATCATTGCATGGACGATTTCGACATTTTGCCTTCCGTGCATAACAATTCGCGATGACCAGGACAGCCCACCACGCCCACCCCACCCCCTCCTACCCCGTCTACTGCCTCGACTGGGCCACAGACGACTCCCTCCTCCTCGGCGGCGGCGGCGGCGCGACGAAAAGCGGTATCCAGAACAAGCTCGTATGTTGTTGTCCTTATTGAAAGTCAGAGCTCATACTCTCGTAGAAATTGTGCAATGTCTCGAAAGACGGCAAGAAACTCAAGTATCTGAATGAGCTCTCTCTGAGCAACGATGAAGATGCGCCTATGACTATGGCTGTTGACAGGGCGGTGAGTGAGGTGGCGGCAATGAGGACAGCGGTTGATAAGGCCACAGAGCAAACAACTCGTGACTGGAATAAATGCCTCGCAAGAATCCATCCAGTCTGGCGTCAATGATAACGTCCGAGTGTACTCTTATGGTGATGAAAAGTACGTGACATGCGGATGGCGGCGGGACAATGCTGATGGAACGCAGGATTGAGCTGGTAAAAGGCCAGAAGACGATAGACGCTGCCTGGTCCGATGACTTTCCCTACCAAGTATGGTTCATCTTCATCATGTTGTACCCTTGACTGATCCAGGTTCTAGAAACTTTCAGTCATCTCGCCTTCTGGCAAGCTCCTCGCTGTGGGAAGCACAGACAACAAGGTCGCCATTCTCCAGTTCCCTACACTGGAGCCAGTGACTGCTCTGTCCACTGATGCCGAGCTTACCGACCTTGACTGGGGAGGTCCAGATGGCAACTGGGTAAGTCGCCTCTCCTTTGTTCCTTCCACTGCTGACCTCTCACAGCTGGCCGTGACCACACTCTACGCCCTCGCCCTCTACCACCTCTCGCCCTCCCTTGCCATCACTCTCAAACAAACCATCTTCCCCCCAACGCTCGACATTGTCCCCGTCGCTTTCCGCTCTGCCCGTTTCTCTCGCTCTTCCTCTACTCCGCTACACTTGCACTCCGTCCTCAACGCCTCCAAGGCGGCCAAGCGCGGAGGGCCGAGGAAGGCTTTCGTGTGTACCTTTGGAATTGTGGCGGAGGCTAGTAAAGCGCCTTTGACTGAAGAGGAGAAGGCGACGGCTGAGAAGAGCGGGGCAGGGGAGGAGGAAGATGTGGGGAAATGGGATGTTTTGGCAAAGAGGGAGGTTGCGGGGAAGCCTGTCACAGCGTTTGACGTTAGGTATGCTCTTTCGTTAGTTTTGAGGGCTGCAACTGATATTCTTGCACTAGCTCTGATGGCAAGATACTGTCTTACGGCTGCTCAGACCTTTCTATCGGTATCCTCGACGCCCGAACTCTGGCCGTACGTCCATACCCAGTTCCTATAGGCATCACAAATCCTGACTAGCTCTACAGCCCCTCCTCAAGATCCTCCACGCCCATTCATTCCCTCCCACCGCTCTGAAATTCAACCCTTCAGCTTCGTTACTAGTATCGGCAAGTGCTGATAACACGGTGAGGGTGGTAGTCGTGCCGGCCGACTTTGGTGGCTGTGAGTCTCCGTTTGTTCAAAGTACGCAATATCAGTGCTGACAGATCTTAGTGTCTGCCCCGATGATCTTCCTGATATTGACCATCCTCATCTTGATCTTGGCTTTGGCTCTGAAAAAGTAGGACAAGGGGTGTTAGGTGAGATGCGTGATCTACGGTAGATGTTGGGATATATACTTGTGTTGTACTAGGCTTGCTACATGAATAGAGATGATGTGATTCGCCTTCTACAACGTCTTCTTACGTTACAATGGTTGTGGAAAGCTGGTTTATGACTCAGTATGAGGCCTTTGTTGTTGTGGCCTTCTGATCGGCGAGTGCCGCCCCGGGCGAGAAGGCGACCGCAGCAGTGGCACGAGGATCACATTTCAATGCATCTCTTCCTCTTTCCTTCTCTCCATCTCTATCACCATGGACCACGGCGACCACTCGGGCCACTCAGGCCACACCATGCCTGGCATGGAACGCCCCATGCCCTCTTGTGCCGTGCGTCCCCTTCTCCCGTCAAGACATCCAGCTGAACGCTCGACTACAGATGAACATGCTCTGGAACAACCAGGTCGCAGACACCTGCGTAGTATTCAGATCCTGGCATATCTCTGGTACATGGACCATGGTCCTCTCCTGGTACCTCATCACCCCCTACGATTTCGACCGTCTCACTGACGCCCGAGCAGCCTCATCATCATAGCAATCTCCCTCTTCTACTCTTACCTCCTCCACTATATCAAGCAGTACGACCGCCAAGTAGCGTACAATGTTTATTCGTCTCAGCAGTCGGGGAGCGCGTCGAGGAGGGATAGTAATGCTGGCGCGAGCTCGTCAGGGGCGGGGTTGATCCCGCCAATCCCGGTGGGGTATGGGGGCGCTGAGACGGGAGCCGTCGGCAAGATTGGAGTGTGAGTACTATTCATTCGATGTTATTGCTCTGAGCCATGCTGATGTCATCACAGAACAAAACTTCCGCTAAAGATCAAGATCACTAGGGCAGGCTTGTATGCCACCTCTGTCGCCATCTCCTTCTGGGTACGTTATGAGCTCGCAAGGATCTCAACGCATATACTGATCATCATATATAGTTGATGCTGGTAGCCATGACTTACAACACCTACCTCTTCTCTTCCATCGTGATTGGCGCTTTCCTGGGACACATCGTGTATGAAGGAGACTTGGACGTTGGGTGAGTTGACACAGGTCTAGTCGAATGTAAGCTGATGAGATTGCAGAGCCGTCCTCGGAGGGACGGGAACTAAAGGTCTTGCATGCCACTAGTACTAGCACTCATGACAATGTAGATATCTGTGTACAAGCATGTAAAATACCCACTGATCCTCGACCTTTGACGGTGACGACCCCTTCCTCATACGCCATCCGTGTCAGCTACTATGGTGGGAAGGCCATCCTTTCAACACTATCGAACCCACTACCGGTGGACACAAAGGGTCACTCGCATCGTCATGCGTCAAACGAGCTCTCTTCATCTCTCCCCATCTCTCACAACCACTGCACACTGTGCACCCTTCCTTCCCCACCCTATTCATATCTGATCACACAACCCCTCCCACAAGCCTGCCCACATTTCCACAACTCCGTTCCACCTCACACCCCGACCCGAGCAGTCACAACATGGCAGATGAAAAGAAATCCTGGCTCGGCCAGGATACTTTCCCGACCATCTGGATCTGGATCTGTTTCTTCTTCAACATTTTTGGTATCCTCGCGTTCATGATGCTGATCGTGGCAGAGTTTGTCATTTTGGTGAACGACTTTTCAAACTATCATGCGCAGTACGGGTATCATTATCGTACGCCTTTCCGGCTTGGGCACATGGCAAAGGAGTGCGCTGATATGCCGGCAGCCCCGAGAGGATATACTGGTGAGGAAGGGTGCGGGTATGTGGACTATACGAATGCTCCAAAACATCTCGGCTCGGCCGTATGGATGCTTTTCTACCAAGTTTATCTCACCCCTCCTCTCCCTACCCCGCGCTGACCATCTTTGTTAGCTATCCATCATCATCCTCTGCACCCTTGTATTGGCTTCCGACCTCGCCTGGCGAGCATCTTCCTACAATGCCTGGGGCGGTCGGTGGATCAGCGCCTTTTACGCTGGCGGTGTCACCAACGGTCCACGAAATGATGCTGGAGGCTTGTACTATTACGTCGCAGCGAATGCGTGGTTCAAGGCGTTCATCGTGGTGCTTTATATGAACCAGAGCTTCTACGGGATGCGTGGAAATATTTCACACGAGTGAGTCGTGTGCGATGGAGAAGGTCGTGTCTGGCTGATGGCGTAAAGATCTCCTTACAGCGGATCGTCATCGTCCGACTCTGGTTCCAGCTCTGGTGGCTACTACTCCGCCTCCGCCTCCGCCTCTGCTTCAGCATCCTCCAACTCCGGCTTCGGTTCTTCTGGCTCTTCAGCATCCGCATCCTCATCCTCCTCCACCCCCGCCTACTCTTGGAAACTATCCTCAGACCCCAACAAGATCCACGGTGTCGAAGCTTGGGTCTATCTCTCTGGCTGGATCGTACTTTGCTCGATCGTGCCGAGTATGGTAGCATTCTTGTTTCTGGCGCCGTGGGGAAAGAAGAAGGAGAAAGATAGCGCAGGAGGAGAAGCAGCTTAGAAGGGCAGAGAAAGAAGGTGATGTGGTAGAGTATTGTTGCAATGTTGTAGGTGCCATGTATGTTTTGTCGACTCGGGAGTTGTGTCTCGAAAGAAAGAGGGGTGATCGGCTTGGGAATTCGGCATGGGATGATGAGTTGGGTGCATGATTCAATGCTCTAACTAAAGTCAGTGCAATCTAAAACAATAGATAGTAGGTCTGCTGGATAGAGACAGCAAGTGTCCCGAAGAACAAGACTGTAAAGGGCATCAGTCAACCCTTCGTGAGTATTACGGGGAGGAAGCGCTGTGGCTCACCAGCTATCCCTGTCCAAGAGAGTCTATTGACGAGGTTGATCTGTCAAGAGTCAGAATGAGTCAATAAAGTCCGAAGCATTTGAGAGAGCGTACGCGATTGCCTGGGGTTCCAGTATGGTAGCCGCGCTGTAAAAGAATGAGACTGATCAGCCTCGATCTCTTACTGTTTAGCAGACACAAGCTACAAACGTACAGTGTATCCAATACGACCGATCACCCACAGCGTCTGTCCAATAGATGCGACTATGGGATGGAAGACACCTTGTCATCATCAGCATCGCATACCTTTCAGCACCACCGAATGCCTCACTTAGGTAACCAAAGAGAGCGAGGACGAAGGGGGTGAATTCAAGAGTGTTGGCATGAGCTCTTTGGGCGCAGTTGAATTTCTACACCATCACATTCATTGTGAGTGAATCTATGACTTGGACATGGTACGCACCATCTTCTTGGGGTCGACAGCGGCTTCCGCGTCCGGCGCGTATACGGCAGGGTACTTGACGCCTGCGATTTTGCGCAAGGCGGAAGCAGAGAGGATCTGATACATCTGCATTGTCGAGAAAAGTTAGCAAGGTGCTGGAGACGGGGCAAATACTGGGCTAGAAGACTTGCGTTGAGAGCAAAGGTGGCGGCGAGGGGAAGGCCGACGAGGGGGAACGTAGGAGGGAGAGTAATGAACGACATTTTCCGTTGTTAGACAGAGTTTAAAGCTGCAGATAGTGAGAGAAGGCTGAAATAGCACTCGCCTTTATACTGTACCATCATCACAGCATTGGTGGCCGACTTCGGCAGGCCGGCATCAGCATGGCGGGGTTCCGTCTCGGTCGCGGTCTCGCTCCTGCTAGTTAGTAGCATGTTGTGCCTGTCCCTTACTTGACACAGATGTTGACAAGCTCTGCCGGTAGCCTGCATATCTTTCTGAGTTGAAGTCTATTGGATGCCATGATGCATGATGCAATGATAAGAGCGCTTAGAAGAAGAGAGCGTAGGTTTTCTGGGCAGAGACACCGAGAGTACCGAAGAGGAGGACTGGGTACGGGTCATCAGCAAAGATGACGGTGATTGTCGAGTTGACTTACTGGCCATGCCGACGTAAGAGAGCTTGGTAAGACCGTTGATCTACACGGGAGTGTCAGCGAATTGTCTTGAAAGGAAGGTAGAGGGAAGTGTCGTACACGCTTGGCGGGTTCACCGGTGGCGTAGCCACGCTGAGTAAAGACACGTTGATCAGCTTTGTTAAGAGCTCTACATGTAGATATAGCTTACAGTGTAACCAACTCGTCCAACGACCCAGAGCAATTGAGCGATAGAGGCGATCTTGGGGTGGAAGATACCTTCGTAGAGTTATCAGCGCAGCCTAAAACATCATCAAGCAAAAGCAGCGCTCAAACTCACTGAGGAAACCGAATAGGGAAAGGATGTAGGGGGCAGACTCAAGGGTATTGGCGTGAGCCCTCTGGGCACAGTTGAATTTCTACAATTGACGTATAAGCTCAGAATTTACATGAGGATGGGCAGTGGTACGAACCATCTTCTTGGCATCGGCAGCAGCGTCTGCCTCGGAAGCGTACAAAGTGGGATACTTGACGCCGGCGGCTTTACGAGCGCTCATGACGGACATGGACTGGTAGAGCTGTAGATAAAGGTCAGCTGAATGCCATTACGGCGTGGCGACAAGAAGGACTTGCGTTGAGGGCGAAAGTCGCAAAAAGGGGGAGGCCGACGATGGGGAAGGTAGCGGGGAAGGATATGGTGGACATGGTTGCGCTACTGTAGTTTAATGATGGAAGAGAAAGTGATCAAAATGAAGAGATGGAGAGATGGGACAGAAGTAAAAGGCGCTCCTTATATATATTTGCATGGAGATCGATCGCGCGGTAGCTACCATTCCGGCACGACGCCACGCAGCGGCCTCGGTTTGCAATGCCACCTTGCCACCTTGGACCTGCATGGGCATGTCCCTCGGCCTGTCCCTACATGCATAGTCAGCAGCCCGCCGGTCAGCAGCACCACGACCTTTGTTTGGCCTCGACGAATTGAAATAGTGACTGCCGAGCTGAAGGAATTCCAGATATTTTTCTGGACGGCCAAAGCCCGCGCGGTCATGACCGCAGGGACGGTGTCCCGAGCCGTACACCATCGCGCCGGTTCTTGCGTGCGTGTGTTGTGCCAGCTATATACAAAATCACGGGTCGATTCCATACGAGGAGCGCACTACATCCTCCAGTACTCACAAGTAGACTATACAGACTCTGGTATGCCTCTCCGCCTCCGTCAGGCGGTCCCGGGGCGTCCCAACGTTCGTTGCCCGCAGAGCACAGGTGTCATCACTGTCGGAACTTCAGGATACATTGCAAGTCTATATTCGCATGGAATGGGCTATTGCTAATATCTCTCAATAGGCATATGCCTCTTCATCTAATGTCGTACTCTTGGCGCCAGAGTCCAACCTGGCAGAGACTCTTGAATTCTGGTTAGCATTGCCTCATAGAGCAAGCTCGTCCAAGAAAGGTCAGGTCGATGGCGTAGTGTGTGCATCTCATGACGGATTTGTGAGAGTGACCTCTAGCTTACACTGAGGACGACTGACAGATACAACAGATCATTGCATGGAGCGACAGTAACGTGGTCGTCTGGAAACACCAGCCTCAGAGTCTCGGCAGAAGCAAGTGGTCTATCCACTCGACCATTGTAGCTTCAAGTCCTATATCGTGTCTCGACTTTCACTCTGGTGTGTCTATTCAATACAAATGTCACCAAATACTCATGATTATGCAGGTTCTTTGGCACTGGGGACCCATGCTGGGATTGAATATTGGCGCATCAACGCTGGCTCTGATGTGGTAGTCTGGGATCGTCTCTGGGAGCGCCATGTCCCCGAACCTACGTCCATCAAGATATCTCCTTGCTCTAACCATATCTGCTGGTTCAAAAAGGTCCGTTCGCCGGCTCTTGCAGCGCAAGATTAACCTTCAATGCAGGACCAAAAGTGTGCATACATCATGACCATAGACAGGAAAGGCAAACCGGCGGGAGTACCACAAGAGGTACGACATCCGAGAGAGATAGCGTGGATAGGGTGGCGAAAGTCTGGTCCCACCGGTGATCCCTACCTATACACTATCACGACCAACTCGGTCTTCCGGATCTACTCGCCAGTGCTGGACGACCCTGTATGGTTTCAGCTCCTCCATACTCTGGACCACCGAACGTTCAGTCGGCTTTCCACCCCGGCATCAACCGCAAAGGGCAAAATGCCAGAATGGAACGGATTCGGGGCAATGTGGGTCTGGGACGCAGAGGTGGTCAAGTCGGCTATCCGCGCTCAGCTGGAGCAGGCCAAGGTGGATAGGCCGAATGGAGTGGAGGCAGGGATGAAGATCCTGGAGTCTATGGAGACGGAAGAGAGTGACGTTGTGGCGTGGGCTGGACCTGAAGGAGGGATCTCTCTACGTTCCGTCATCGTGAGTGCTGTCTCAGATTTCTGCACCAAGGCTGATCCAGTATAGAATATGGACAGAAAACCCCCAACTTTACTCAAGTCTCTACCCCTAGCGTGGGCTAGCCTCCCGTCTCTTGCACCTGCCTCGCAGTGGTCCCCACAAACCCTTCTGCTACACATCCCGGGCTCTTCAAACCTCACAGCCGTGCTAGCTCCGTCCTCCTCTTGTCCTCACACATCCTCGTTCCGAATCTCCCTACCCAGCCTTCTCTCCTCCATACCAGACAGCATCTACCCCACTAGCTCTTCATCTCCTGAAGAATCCACTCCCGTCCAGCTCGACCACAGTATCACCTCGCTCATCCGTACGCCCAACGGGCGAGGTCTGCTGGCCCTCTCGGAGCAAGGCGGGGTCAGTACGTGGTACAAGCAGCAGCTTGGTTTCGCTCCTAGCTTGTGGGATTCTACACAGAAGCCACTAGTGGGCAAGGGCCAGTGGAAGGTCGAACATGCACCGAGGCAGGGTGCAATGTTTTCCAAAGGCCGGGCTATTGTATTCTATACGAAGCCTGCGGATGGACCTGCTACTGTCACTCTGCAGCACCTCAATCCCGGAAGCGCCACCCCCTTAGACCCCCTCGTGCTACCCCATTTCAATCCTTCAGACGACGATGAGATAGGCATGCTATTGGCAGTCTCGGATATCGATGATGGGTTTGATAAGCCCGGTCGACGGACCAACCGGGCTATCATCACCGCTGCGACGCATTCGGGCGAAGCTTGGGTTTGGCGAGTATCTTCTCGGCTGAATCCCAATGGAGATACACCCTACGGCGAACAGCCCACAGTCTCTCTCCTCTCGCACTATCGCCTACCGCTCGACCGCACCCATACGCAGAACAGGCAGAACATGGTCTTGCCAGTAGACCCGATGGGGTGGCATCAGAATGTGATTGACTGGGCGACAGATACGCCTCTGCAGGATATGATTCTGTCCATATCTGCGAATGGTGATTTGGAGTTTTGGACGCCCAAGCTGGGGCAACATTTGGCCGGAGAAAAAGCCAAGGAAGAGGAACAGGGTGGAATGACGCATACGGATAGGGCATGTGAAGTAAATGGAGGACACATTCATAGCAAGGGTGAGGGGAGAGGGGAGGATGAGCCGTGGGTGAGGACGGGAGTAGTAAAGACGGGGAGGAAGAATGTCAAGATGGCGAGATGTAGTTCGAGAAAGAAGTCTGTTCTGGGTGAGTATATGACAGGAGGCGCTTTAAGAAGAGCTAACAAGGGTTGTCAGTGTCCGAGCTGGAAGACGGAAGGCAGGAGATGACGGTATGGGACTCGAAAGTCAGCGAGTTTTCGACCGGTTGGGAGTTGACCCGCATTTACGAGTGAGTTTTCTGTATTTACGACCGTCGACACGACTGATGCATCTTTCAGAGCGAGCGACAAAATCCAAGACCTCGATTGGACGACTACCTCCGACCTCCAATCCGTCCTAGCCGTCGGCTTCCGCCATCGAATTGACCTCATCTGCGAACAACGCATGTCCTACGCCGAGACGACCCCCGGGTGGGCTCCTTTCCTGTCCATCGACATGTCAGCATATACGGGAGTGCCTATCAACGACTCAATATGGCTCGCAGGAGGCAGCTTGGCGGTGGGAGCGGGCAACCAGGTGTACATGTTTAGCAGATTCTTGGAAAAGAAGACTGGCGAGAAGAAGGAGGAAGCAGTGGATGAAGAGGAGGACATCTTTCAACTCATTGCTCACCAGAATGGTCCCTTGGTGGACTATCATCCAGTCATGCTTGCGCAGTGTCTGCTTTGGGGTATGTATTGGTTTGGCCGTGGCATGAACAAGCTGACACCTGCTATCAGATAAATCAACACTCGTCAAGAGTATCTTGGAGCGACTGGTGAAAGCCTTGAAAGAGTGTCAGGAAGAGGGAAAGACGCGTTTGAAATTCGAGAGGCTGGATCCGATCGAATTTTACTCCTCAAAGGTGACTTCGAAACCTGTCAAGGCTGTACGTGAGCGCTCTTGGCCTCCAGAACATCGCTGATTATGACTCTAGCATGCTAGGAGATATGACAGTCTCTTTGATTCGGCACCATTGATTGATGAGTGAGTGTGGAAACTCTGTCCAAAGTAGAGTGACTGACCCGTACAACAGCGAGGAGGAGGATGACTTCAGTCCCAAGACCGTGTCAGACCTGGTCGACAGGCTACATGGTCCTGTCGATATACCATTAGACGATGCTACCAAGTCGTTTCTGGCAACTGTGGCGCAAGTCACTCTGGAAGTAAGTGCCACAAGGTCTGTTCGAATACCATGCTCATGTTCGTGACCTCATAGGCAGAGCGACAACGCCGATCCCTCGATATCTGCGGGATGCGCTATCTCACGTCCATACGCATGTCCGTCAACTGGGATCGTATCCACAAGACATCAGGCAATGTCACGCCCTCATCCGGGGCAAGTCTTGGGCAGAATCTCGGCGCGAGCGGCAAAGGAGCTAGCCACTTGTCGTTCAGAAACATGGTCTGGGCGATGCATAGCGAAAGCCAGGATATTCTGATGGAGGCTGCCACCCAATGTTGCTCTAACGGCAAGATGGTGTGGAAGGATGCAAAGAAGTTTGGAGTGTTTTTGTGGCTCAAGTCGGCTGAGACTGCGGTAGGTTCGCAGCCACATTCCAGCGTCGTTGCTCATTCTTGACATAGAAGTCCCAGCTGGAAGTCATCGCCCGGAACAGGTTTATGGCCGACGAAGATCGTGATCCTACATCCTGCTCGCTGCTCTTCTTCGCCCTCGGCAAGAAGAAGGTAGTCCACGGTCTATGGCGCCAAGCTCCTGGTCACAAAGAACAGCAGCTCATGCTGAAATTCTTGGCCAACGACTTTACCCTCGACCGCTGGAAGACTGCCGCCGCCAAAAATGCGTATGCTCTTTTAAGCAAACAGCGCTACGAGTATGCAGCTGCATTCTTCATGCTCGCGGGCCAAGCCAAAGATGCTATCAACGTGTGCTTGAGGCAACTAGATGATTGGCAGCTGGGCTTGGCTTTGGCCAGAGTAGTAGAAGGCGGGACAGAAGGACCGATCTACCGTGTAATTGTTAGTGAGACGGTGCTGCCTATGGCGTTTGAGGGTGGCCATAGGTGGCTGGCGACATGGGCCTTTTGGGTGTTGGGCCGAAGGGATCTCTCCGTGAGAGTGCTCATCGTAAGTCTCTTTATTGATTACCGAGCGCAAACTTATATGGTATAGTCTCCAATGGGCGATGTGGCTAGCAGCTATGAACCAGAGAAGGCGCTGAAGGTCGGCAATCCAGACAATGACGACCCAGCCCTGCTACTCATGTTCCAATACCTCAAAGCCAAGTCTTTACAGACTGCCAAGGGCACAAGCGAGGTGTCTGCGAAAAGGGAGTTTGACTTTGTCTTGCACAATGCTAGAGTATTCTTTCGCATGGGTAAGTGCCTTGGTATCTTCCGGTTGCCAATGTCTGACCTTTACAGGATGCCACAACCTCGCACTCGACTTGCTTCGATCCTGGTCGTTTGAACGACCGTTTTTCCCCGTCAACAGGCGGCGTCGCATGTCAAGCATATCCCAGCGGGCATCGACTCCCCAGTCATCCACGTTCACATCAACCAACTCTCCTTCAGACACTTGGGTCAGCCCGTCCAGGCGTCGCCGACCGTCATTTCTACTCTCAGGCACAAATGGCAGGCCGCGAGAGTCATCGTTCATGGACTTGGATGTCCTTGCTGAGAGTGGAGGCAGTACGAGGGCTACTAGCCCGTCCCATGTCGAGGATGAACAGCCAAAGCCTCAAATCTTGAATGGACAACCCAAGATTGAAGAACCTGCTTCAGTCGTTGAAGAGGAGCCAAAGGCGGAAGAACCGCCTCCAAAGAAGATTGGCAACCTGATGAAGGAGCTGAAGCAGGACGTGCAGCAAGGCGCTATGGAGTTCAATATGGACAGCTTCTTCTAGACATATCTATGCATGGCTCCGGATACAATGATATTTCGTCGAGAGCTGCAGACCGCGCCCAAGTGATGATGTAACTTGTAAGAGCAGTCGCGTCCGATACCCGTGTCGCGTGAATCCTCTCAGATTGGTGTTCTCGGGCGTTTCCAACATATCTTCATCATACCTCATCTATAGTATTTCAATTGACTTCTCAACTGACTGAGATTCTAGAAGGGACACCGCAGCTTGCTCACAGTATCTCCTGGAACATGAGCAGTCCCCGTGAGGAAGATGTCTTCATCCGTCCTTCATCAAAAGAAATCAGGTGGGCCATGATGGAGCAGGCAATGGTGCCCGATTGACTGCTGATATGCGTAATATAGATCCCAATGGAACAAGATCTTTTCCGATCCCCTCATCAATCTGGGCAAGCTGCGCTCCCGGTCACTAGACAAAGCTGGCTTGGGTCCCGAAGGAGCGAACGGGGGTGTCACTCTGCGATCGCTGTATTGGAGATTCTATCACAATCTACTACCACCCCCAACATCCCTTGATCTGTTCCCTCCTGCGGTGGAGACAACGAGAGAGACCTACAACATCCACAGGCGGCGATACCTCATTGCCCCCGACGGCCGCTGGGCTTCCGACTGCTCGGGTTTCCAGGAGTCCCTTGACTCTCCAAATCAACCCCTCTCCCCCAATCCGAGTTCTCCCAATCCTACTTCACCCTTGCAAGGCAATGAAGGCTGGGACCCACTGTCGCTATCAACTTCATCGCCCTGGAAGACCTGGTTTGCCCACACCGAGCTTCGGGCAACAATCCGGCAAGATGTCGACCGAACATTCCCAGACATGCCTTACTTCCAGTTGGAGAGAGTCCAACGGTGTATGACGACTGCGTTATTCATATTCTCGGTGCTCAATCCGGATGTGGGGTATAGGCAGGGGATGCACGAGCTATTTGCCTGTTGCCTGCTGGCGGTGGACCGAGACTCCTTGACGGTTGGCCAGGGCTCGACCGTGAAGGAGGAGGCAATGTTAAGGACGCTTGATAGGCGATATATAGAGCATGATGCTTTTGAGCTGTTCGCGGCTGTCATGAAGAACGGGAAGGCGTTCTATGAATGGCGAGCAGAGGAGGGTCCTCCCATAGTGAGTTACTTCAAGACGGTCATGTATATCCGCTGACATGTCTCAGCGGTCGAAATCACCAACTGCACCCCAAGCACCTATCATCATACGATGTAGCAATCTACACTCTTCGATTTTGCGGAAGATTGACCCGCAGCTATGGGAGAAATTGGAGTCAGAGGGCGTGGAAGCTCAGATTTGGGCCATGTAAGTCGTGTATTTGTTTATCCTAGCATAAGGTGTTGACTCTTTCCAGTCGATGGCTGAGGTTGATTTTCACCCGAGAATTGCCTTTCAATATAGCAATGCGTCTATGGGATGGAATCTTCGCTGAAGACCCGGGACTTCAGTTGCTCGACTTTGTCTGTGTTGCTATGCTTTTACTGATACGAAACGAGTGTCAGTGATCACATCCTCATGATGTACTTGGGCTGACCTATGTACAGTGATAGAAGGCGATTATCCAGCCATTCTCACCAACCTTCTACACTACCCAGCTCCGTCGCCGACCTACCCCTTTGAACCATTCATGATCCTTGCCCAAGCTTTGTATCTACGCGATGAGCTGTCTCCAGCAGCCGGGGTTGAGATCGTTCTTCAAAACCAAGACCTTCTCAACATCAAGGCAGCACCTTTCAGGGGTGACATCGACGGACCCGCGACTTCACAAGCAGAATCACGTTCCAATGGGAGGGGCGGAAGCTTCAATGCTGGACGCTCACGTATGCAGAAGAGCGGTGGGATGGGCGGGATAGCCCAAGGGCTGTTTGAAAGAGCGCAAGCTGCGGGATTGGACAAGGCCTTCTTGTCTACTGTCAGTGATATCCGGGTAAGCAGTCTTCTCTGTGAAGTGAATTGTTACTGACGAGTGACCAGAAAAATATCCCAGATTCGGCCTACTCTTATCTCCCCAATCTCCCCTTCTCCCCCGCCCAATCCCCCGGCCCGCAAAGCCCTTCCAACGCATTCTCATCCATACCCTCTTCCTCTCGCCCAGCCCGTTCATTCTTCCACTCTCCATCCCAGTCCCACACTAACACTCGGCCTCGCCCGCCACTTCGCTCTCGCCCTTCAATGGACAGTCAAACATCTGAGATGTCAGTCAAAACTGTCAAGGATGCCGAGCGTGAGATGGCAGAATTGAGACTAGCAATGCTGGGTATGGGCAAAGCCATGCTGGAATGGCTTGACGTAGTGAAGAACAAGGACCAGTCTACCACTGAAGGATCGGATGGCGAGCGAGATGCCGCCTGGTCAGGTCTGGAGCGTGTCAGGGACACACTGATAGACGCTGCCGGCAAAGACGTGGATGATATCGTGAAGGAATGGGGCTGGCACGAAGGGCTCGAAGCGCCTAGCAGTCGCTCTACAACCCCTGCCCCTGACACCGAGCCACAAGCTCCTGTGATTGCTCCTGCTGTTGCTACGGCAAGCCAAGTCCCAGAACCAGATCGTGACCCTCTGTCGGTCAAGACCGGGCCAGGTCACATGGAATTTGAAGATGCTACGCCGACCCCAGCCAGCGTATCTGTCATGCCTACGACACCGATGTTTCCCGGGCGGCCAAGTGGGGCGAGAACCAGTCTGACACCCCCATCCCGGGCGGGGTCTTCTCGTACCGCCGGAGCACCGAACACGACGAGACAATCCCCTTCAGAGCTGGCGAATGGCCAGAGTCGGATGAGTGTCGTCTCGGGCCTACCAAGAGTTTCCCAAAGTGCACCTTTAACCTCAAATGGGGCTTTTGCGCGGCATCAGCAGGTAGAAGAAAGGCGACCCTCGACAGCTGGTTTGGGCATCTCCTCATCTAGCAGGGGCGTCAAATCGACCCGTGACCCCCTCGCTGATTCGAGCGCTGCAGCTAGCTCAGATCCGCTTGCTGGTTTGGGAGTGACGAGCCGGGAAGATAAACGATTGTCAGCGTCGACCGTCAAGGCAAAGGGGAGGAATTCTGGAGGCGTCGATCCGCTATTGGGCATAGACCTGAAATAATCCAGAGCACGTAAATATGTTGTAGAGTGCGCATCTGGCATGCCGATATGATATTGAGCAATCCGACTTTCAGTATTTTAGTCTTACCAAACACGCAAGGCCTGGCACAATACAAGTACATGAACTATCTCGAACGACTAACCATTATACCCATACCCATTCGCACTATACTCGTAATCCCTTTGCTCATCATCGTGCTCCGCCGAATGCATCTGCATCTCAATCGGCAGCTGCATCCCCATCTCCAGATCATCCATCTGTCCCGCCGCCGCCTGCATGGCTTGTTGTACCATGTTGATATCGACCGAGTTTGGATCTTCATCCCCACCAGCTGAAGGTATATTGTGGTGGGAGGATGAAGGGATACCCGACTCGTCAAAGTTCAGGGTGTTGTGGTCTTCGTGTAGGGGATTGTACTGGCCATTGCCATCGGCATGATGGACTTGGCTCGAGGGGCCCGCAGCTTGTTCGAGGGTAGAGTACAGCGATTGCTGGTCAAGCTCTTCCTCCTGAGGCTGTTGTTGATGTTGTGACTGTTGAGAAGCAGGGGCAGGCTGGAAAGAAAAGTCTCCTTGCAGCGCCTCCATACCCAGATGCGCAAAGCCCGGGATCTCGTCTCGCTTGCCGAATTGGCGCTTCTTGATCACCGGCGCCTTCAGCCTCGGCCTTTTCGGCTGAGGCACCCCCGATCCATTGCTACTACTGTCGGCTACCATCCCTGGTGACCCCATCGACACCTTGACTCCAGGATGGCCCGCCGCCAAAGCTTCAGCCGCCGCCGCTTTCCTGCCCGCTGCCGCGACCATCTCGCTCTCCTTTTGCGCATTGGCGATTGCTTCTTCTTGCTTCATCCCCCGTCCTTGGAAACCGCCGTTTTCAAACCGCCAGAGATGGTTCTGGCGGATACGCCAGCCGGCAATGGAGCCCTGCGTGAGCTTTTCGTAGTACATGTCGGCGCCTTTACGGGCGAGATAGGTGCGGACGCGGTGGGCAGAACAGCGACCTTCATCGCCGTCCCATTCGGAGGGATAGTGTTTCCTTATCCAATTGACAATGTCATTGGGTTTCTGTGGAGACATGTCAGTGGATAAAAGTGGTGGATTGGACTTTTCCATACCAATGGCCAGTTGTCATTGCCATGTGATAACAATGCACGTCCTGAATCACTGTCAGCATGCATCCACAAACGCGGGTGTCAATGGACTCACCAATAAAGAGGTTGACACTCGCGTTGGGAGGCGGCTAGAAGAAAAAGCAAAAGGACGTCAGCCAACCGACTCTATCTCAATGTGGCAGTGTGGCAGTGTGGCACTTGGATGTGGCGGCGCGATCTCAACAGTGAGATTCCAATACCGCGCCCATCCGTTGTTCCCAAGAGTTCAGACAAGGACACTCACCTGGGGCCATACCGGCACCTGCTGCACAGCCTGTTGTGGCGCAATCACCCTCATCAACTTGGCAGTCGGGCTTCCTGGTATATCATCATCCACCTGACCCTTCAGCGCGTCCAGATCAAACACGTCGTCGGCGTCGTCCTCCCCCAGCCTGGGCGGCATAAAGTCTCCCGGTTTGGGGTCGGGAGCTTGAGCGATTGAATCGTGGATGCCGAGAGTGTGGGGCTCGTGGTAAGATGGATAATGGCGCGGAGGCTGTGGGGTGTGAGAATGGGAGTGGGAGAGATCTGTGGACAGGGTAGAGTTTGGTGCTTGGGGGGTCGGGTGATTAGATGTTCGAGGGGTGTCTACAGGTGCAGGGGCAGACACTGAGGGAGTGCGGGAGGCCGAGGGTGGCTGGGATGTGGCAGCAGTGGGGGCGGAGGAGGAGAGACGTGAGAGAGCGTGGAGGTCGGCGTCTGCTGCTGGCTGATGGGGGTTTTGCTGGTGTGGGGTGGTGGATGGGGCCGGGGCCGCCATGGCTGGTGAGGGGAAAAGAGGGGGAAGAGAGAGATGAAAGAGATGAATGTGGCAGCGATGACAACAACCAAGCCAAGTCCTGATTTGGTAGATAGCGTGTAATTACATGTTAATTTGATTCTTACTCTCGCATCTCCGTCCTTCCATCCGAGCCGAACTTTTATCTTTCTCCAAAAAACATCCACAACGAAAATGTCTGTCCGCTCCTTCACTGGCCCCCTCCGCTCCCTCTCCCGCTCAGCACTCCCCCGCCCCGCCCCTGCTTCCGGCGCCAGATTACTCCCAGCCCAGCTCCGGGCCTACAGCGATGCCGCTCCTGCCGAGCCAACGCCCGAGTCGGCACGCCTCACAGAGCTCGAGGCCGCCAACAAGGAGCTCGAAGAGAGCGTCAAGGAGATGAAGGTATGTGTCTGACAGGGTGTTGGAATGTTTGCTGATACGGATCACAGAAGGACATGCAATACCTTCGAGCAGACCTTCAGACCGCCAACCGCCGAACGGCCGAAGAAAAGGCCAAGGCATCTGAATTCGCCATCACCTCCTTCGCCCGTGCCCTCCTCGATACCGCCGATGTTCTCACCACCGCTCTCAAGCACGTCCCCCAAGACCAGCTCTCCGTCAACAAAGACCTCGCATCTCTGCACCAGGGTGTCCAGCTGACTCACAAGGCGCTGTTACAGACCTTTGAGCAGCACGGAGTCAAGCAGCTCGGCGAGCTGAGGGGAGAGCAGTTTGACCCGAATCAGCATGAGGCGCTGTTCACTGTCCCTCAGGCTGTGGCGCCCAAGAAGGCGAACGGCGACTCGCATGGGCCGAATGAGATCTTTGACGTCAGCAAGGAGGGCTGGACGATTGGGCAGAGGGTTTTGAGGCCTGCCCAGGTTGGCGTTGTTGCCCCCGAGTAATGGTCGGGACGGAAAACAGGTGTATCATATCAGAGTAGACTTTCATGGGAATGTAGAGTAGGATTTCTAATCATCAGTTCAGCTTCTAGCATTCATGCATCACTCCTCATTTGCCCGATACTCGATTCTGAAACATGCTAAAATATCCATGCTACCCATGACAATAAAGCTGATATACTGATGACAACGCTAGAATATAATGGAAAGTATGGATCAACCTCGCCTTCCCTTGCTCATACTCTCGACAAACTTGGCCCTTTCGGAAGGGTCCTTGACAGCAATATAGTAGTACCCTCCATCGCCCTTCCACGATACCCAATCAGCCCAATACTCGTGTTGCGTCGAGCGGAGACAGGCTGCAAACCGATCGCACTACAAAGTGTTAGCTCATATATTGCGTTCCCTGTCAGCCAACTTACGTTGCTCGAGTTGATTCGGAAACCCTTTTCGACAAACGGTTTCAGACTGACAATTATAGCACCATCTTTGAGGTCTAAGAACATGTCGCAAAGTGTCTGGTTGAGACTGGACGGGAAGACTTCGTTATTCACCAGCTATCAATTTATCAGCCATGTCCTCATGCATGATCGCATGACTCACCACAACGTCGGCGTCTCTCAAACACTTGCCCACCTCACCCATATCGGTGAAATCGCCTTCCCCAACCTCAACCCCCAGGTTACCTTCCAGTGCCCACATAGCCCATCGCCTCTGCACTTCCTTGAGCTGCATGCGCGCACAGTGGGCGGGTGTGGGGAGGAGCTCAAAGCCGTAGGATCTGCAACCGGCTTGGAGGGACGCTTGAAGCACACAGTTTCCGACTCCACTTCCCAAATCGACACTGATCATCATTAGTAGATATCGCAGACAGAGTTTGGGGCGCTTACAAGACAGAGTCCGGCCCAAGCTTGGTTTGCTCCAGGATCCGGCTCATGAAGGCAGATTTCAATTCGCCATACGAATCCTCCTTCTCCCTCAGGGCCTTTGCTACATCCTCTGGATGTCTTCCCGGATGCGCCAGCTCGTGTGTATACGGTCCGACCACCCGTTGGTAAGCCGTGTCATGTACATGAGCTACGAGCTCCTTCCAGTCATCCAACTTCAGCTCCCTTCCACCCCGAAGACCAGAAGAGAGCCAATTCCGAAGAGTACCGTCAGATTGGATAGCCTGCATGGCAGCGTTGTACCGGCTGATGGCGAGTCGGAATAGAGGTCCATCCAAACGATTGGGCGCGAGCGAGATACGCAGCAGGTCGCCGATATTCTCCGTCCTTTCTGCCAGGGGAGGAGCGAGGGATTCTGGGGCCGGTGCGATGCCAGAGGGAGAGGGCACATCGGGTGGCGGAGTGACAAGTGATGGAGGGAGAGGCGATGACACACGTGATGGTACAGCAGACAGGCGAACGGAAAGGTCGAGGGAGTCTTTGAGTGTGCCAAACATGTGGCGATGGGAGGGTGGGATGTAGTCTGCTCATCGTCAGCCTGGGTTCGACACGACGGGGCAGAGGACTTGCGTTCGAGGATGAAGCTCAGCGTCCTTTTGAGCTCTGCCATGGGAGCAAACTCGCTGTTGGACACTGGATGTATGAGTTGAAATCTGTAGAGCGTCAGCAATCCCCTCAGTCGTTCCTTAAGTTGGGAACTAACGTTTCTTTGCACCCCTTTGCAGGGTAAAGAATCTCCACAGAGGGCCACACACCATCCTCCATATCGAAGCCAGTTTGAGGAAAGACTGTTTTCAATCAGCACCCATTCTCGTCTCAGCACAATGGGACGTACAAGGAGTATACTTGACAATCTTGCTAGTGGCCTCCCCACCTCCTCCCCCCGCCCATCCTTCGACCTGACCCCCTACTACCTCGTCGGACCTTACAAAGCCCGCCCATCCCCTCCCCCATTCACCCCTCATATCGACCTTGTCCCAACAGAACACTCGACGCCCCACTTTCTTCTCTCCTAGCAGAGGCGTAGCTGACCCAGAGCCATTCTTGAACGTCCGAGAACGCTTTTTGGGGTTGCGTGGCTTTGGATCAAGAGCATCGTCGCTCGATTCAGATTCTGAACCAGAGGAAGATTCAGATTCGACAATTTGGGTAGCTTGGGGTGTCTTTCGTTTCAGCCTGCTTGGGCTGGATGAATGCGAAGGTGTACGGGGAGTTGCTGTTGACCGCACCCTCTCTTCTTGTTTTGTCTTTGGCGTCCCAGACCCAGACGTTGGCCGAGAGGTTGATGAACCTTTCAACAAGCTACTAGACGCCACCTTCTTGGCACCTCCTGCCCCATTCAAGCTCTTCTGACCTGACGTAGGTCGAGGGAGACTGTTGCTTGACGTCCGTGGTGTGACGGTGGACCTCTCCCGGTCTGAAGATGCGCGAGAAGGCCCTGGTGAAGTATTCGATGCCCCATTTAGTTGCCGACCGGAGGGTGTCTTCTTGACGGAGATGCTGACCGATTTGGGGGCTGCTGGGAGTTTGGATTCGTCCCCGAAAAAGGAGAACGCCATCCTCGCGATATGGTTTTTTATCGGGTGATTGCAAGAAAAGGGTACAAACAAGAACAGGGACATCGCCACTCAAACTAAGACCGAGATTAGAAAGAAGATTTGCTTCCGCTAACCAGGGCCGGGTAAGGCCGGCCTGATTCAATCAACATCAGATGTTGTAAGCCCTGCAAAGGGAATTGATAGAGCGCTGGCCTCTACGTAAGGCATACGTCCGCTCAAAGACCACCCATTCGGGGTCTTGATGTACGATGAGCATGCATAGGGTGTCGATTTCCCCGCGGAAGTCCGCGCAAATCATGTCGCTCAGCTTAGTCCGCTTCCAGTCTGCGTGCTCTTTCAATTGTTCATGACCACCCAATCAAAGGTCAGAGGGTGGACGGTCGCTAGGCTCACCGTGCAGTCTGCTAAATCAAGGTGGGGAAGAGCATATGTATCATGCAAAATACTCAAAGGGGACTTGCCTCTTTCGTTCAACGCCCTGCGCCGAGCCTCAGGCCATGCAAACACTCCACTCATCGACTGGCCGAGCGCGTCCGTCCTCTTTCTTTTCCCGGATACAGAAGTCTTAGTACTAATCTGAAGAGCCTTTGCTGAGCAGCTGGGGGTGGCAGGTAATGTCAGCGACAGGCTATGCACACGCTATGAAGGGGTAGAAACAACCCAAGTTCTGATCAGAAGACCCAACTTCAAACTTCCTTTCGGCGTTTTGGGTAGCAGTACTCGCTCCCCTTGGCGGCTGCTCCTCTATCTGGAGCGTCTGCCGTTACCGCGCGCATAAACGGGACAGAGCACAGGAACTTCCAGATCGGCCATCTTCCGTCCGCTGCCCGTCGTCGAGTGTCGAGAGGAGATCATCGGAGCAGCCACGTTGACGCATCGCACAGTCCACTTTTCCCCGGGCCACCGGGTGAGAGCTAGTCGGCTGATATGGTAGAGCTTCGGTGGTGGTCGGAAAAGGGTCCGATGAGGAGATGGCTGATGTGTCCAGCAGCACGTGATGAGGGAACGCAAAGATGTAAGAAAAGGATCATTGACTTCAAGAGACGGCATGGCAGGATGGACATGAGGTGGGGGATTCACAACAGATTAACAGCAGCAGGTTGAGTAGCACGTCAGCCTGCAGGTCTGCATCAAGATCACTGGGGCGATCGTCCATCTCGCTGCTCTTCATTGTCTGGGTGTACTGCAGGGATAAGGCAGGGGAAGAGGTTCCATGAGCGAGATTATCCGGGTCATGTTAGGTTGATGCAGTCGGTGTTGTGATATGTCTGGAAAGAAAGGATTGCGGAGATGGCCGCCGGACGTCCACGCTGGAGTGTTCCGTTGTAGTTTTCATATGTCTCCTTCTTCTTCTTTATCTAATAACAACAGTCGGTACCGATCGGACATCGCTCGTGGAGAATACTGGGTTCTAAAAGCTTCTGTCGCCGGCCAAGGAGCCTCGCTGCTGCAGCAGAAGAATGCTTACCGCAGGCATACTGATAGGAAGAACAAGTTCGATGACCAAAAGCAGTCGACGACCTGCCACTGGCCAGGCCGTTGTCACTGCGAAAGCCGACAATAATACTCTACATGGCACTCTACTCCATTGTCAAAGTGATTACTGATTGTTGATTTTTATCCCGATACAGAAAAAAAGTAGCTATAAACAAACAATAGTAGCTATATACAAACATCTCGAAGCAGCATGAAAGAAGTATACCTGTACTAACAAGGCTACAAAAGAAGAAGGGATTATACAGTCAATCGAGTAGCAAGAGCTACTATGAAGGGAAAAACCAAGCCCGAGCACTATACTTTGAGACCCTCCCAGCCTGAGCCTCTCATCCTGCCGTTTATTCAGCACCATTCCAAAAAGATACAACCCCAGTCAAATAGTCCGCTAACCACCCCCTGACCCCCCTATAATAGCCCCCCGAACACGTTGATTATTGGTATTCCAGCGCTCACCACATCAGCCTCTTGTCTCTTCCCAGCACGGGACTCCAAGAAGCAGGAGAGACAGGCATGTCGCTCGATATGGGCCCAGTAGAAGCGGCCGATCGATGGAAAGGCATGCGGGAAAGACTCCTCGGTACTAGATCTTGCCCTCGTACCCTACCGAACGCGGACAAGCGCGAGTCTCTCGAGTCACGGTCCGTCCTCGGCGCCGAGACAGAAGGAGAGAAAGAAGCGCCGGGAGAGTACTGGGGTTTGAAGAAAGGATCGGGGTAGGTCACTGAACGGTCGTTTGCGCGGCGCGCAAAGATGGAAGAGGATTGGGAATGGATGGGCAGCTGAGGCAGCTGGGGGTTGGGGTCGGATCTGAGAATGTGGAGAAAGATGGACCTGGTGGTTGGAGCAAGCTGAGAGCGGCTTCCGAGAGTGCTGTTGACAATCATCATGAGGTCCTTCGGGTCCATGCGCTGGTGTTGTGTTAGGACGATCCGTCGTGTCATATAAATGACTTACTCGGCCGAGGTTGAGCAGGCTGAGAGCACCTTGGATGACATCAGGCTCCATCGGCCCATCCTCCTCATCACTGCCAGTGTCCGGTCCTTCAACGCTCAGGTCTCTCGCGGCAGATGAGGCGGGACTGGTAGAGGACACCACACGGCTGTCGATCTCCAAGGTGCACGGAATGGGAGAGGACTCTTGCTTCTGAATGGGCTGGAGGACTGGGGAAGAAGGGGCAGCGAGAGAATTCTCTTTGACGCCGTCGCGCACGGGTGCCTTTGGAGTGGCGACGGCCCGTACTGAAACTCTCTCGTCGCTGCTGAAAGAAGGGTCTGGTGAAGCAGTGGCGACAGCGGGAGTCTGGGTGTTCTTCTTTTTGGCCATACTACGAGCCAGTTCGGCGTCTGTCTTGTGCCTACCACGCTCAGCCCTCTACAGGATCGAGTCAGCCTTGAGACAACGTGTCGATGTGCAGGTGACTCGGCATGGTAGACAGCCGGGAGACGAACAACAGACGGCTTACCCAGAGACCACAGGCGTTGCAAAGATGAGTTTTTGGTCCCACGAGAGGATCGTCGGGGTTGGAGCGCCAGAGAACGGTCTTGGTCTGGTGGTACAGTGTCAACGCGTCTTCTCTTTGCTCGATGAGCGCCGACCGGATGGGCTGCTATTGTACAAGCTCGACGAGGGCTCAAGGCGAGCAACTTACGGTCTTGCATATGTTGCAGACGTCTTTCCGAGTCTTGCGAGGCTGCTTGGGAGGTTTCCCTTCCCCCCTGTCGTAGGGAGAGGCTCGCAGTGCGGGAGTGCGTCGTCGAGTATGGGGCATGTCGGGGCGAGATTGTGGTTGAGTGAGTGCGAATGGTAGACTGATACTGTGCTGGTGGTGAAAAGAGGAGGCACCGAGGTGGCGATGGGGGGCTAGGGATATGGCTGTGGGTATATAACGGTGAGATGGAGATACAAACACGACGTGGGGATGAGTACCACGGCGTGGATACGTCAAAAGCCTCGCGTTGTGGCAGCTGCACGGGTGTCTGCCCTCAAGCTGTGGTGCCCCTGTGGTGATCGCCCGAGGCAGCGCTGATTGCGAGCGGCAGATGGCAAGAGAAGATTCGATCTCTTTTGTGGGCCTGTACGGAAAGGATAGTCGATGCAAAATCAGTACCTTCCAGCCGTCCTTTCCTCCTGCCCACCTCGCATCGCACAGGGTGGAGGCGCATATCCATACATACCCGCTGTTCCGGTGCGAGGTTCGAACGATGCCGGTTGTCGTTATACAAACAATGCCCAGCACGCCCCAACATAGTTACCTCCAGAAGCACCACCGGCACGACGCGAAGTGGCCGGGGCGGGTCCTGATAGGAAGTTTATGCTCGTCGATCAACGCCACGGCACGATTGTTTGGTGGCCCGGTACCAGGATCACGCTCTGCGGCATGCACTGTTTGTTGGTAGTTAGCAAGATGAGATGCGATGAGGTGCTTTGCGTTCGCAGGGTTCGATGAAGCGTAGATTGCGAAGGGAAGGAGAAGCTCCAGCTACTCAGAGTGGGGGACACTGAGCGTATGACCACATGCACGCCGTGTTGGCCGGTGACCGGTTTGTGACCTTGTCCATCTCCACTTTTGGAAGATGCCATGAGTTCTTTGACGCAACTTGCTCGGTGACTGTGCGTCCGACACTGCCTTGTATGCTGCAAGGCGACTCGCCGAACCTGCCACATGCATACGTGTCGGACGCGAAAATACTCGTCAAGCGGGGCGTGTTTCACAACACCCGGCCTCCTTTTGCAATGAAACTCAATTTGGCATGATAACAGACTACCTCGCAAGCGCCGAATTATTTTTTTGGGCATATGCAAGATGGCTGTACCTCGTCGCGATGAATCGTTTCGAGGGTTGGAACAGGTCTCATACAGATCGTCCACTGCCACGGAGCAGCGTCGTCGTGTGTGTGGCCGGGTGGAGGGCAAGTCTCGGATCTAGTGTTGTATGCTCGCTCGTCAGATGGGCCGCTGATGGCGAGATAGGGAGCAAAGTGGGATGATGTATAGGGATCGTCTGGGGCGATCTGAGAGTGACCATTTTGTGGAGCTGCGTAGCCGATTGTTCTGTAGAATCTTCTCAATATTCGTGGCATGCGCGCATTCGCGGTTGGCGATCGTCCCGACTGCACCCACGAGGTGGCGGGAGACGCCGAGGAGCTGGCTGACGAGAGAAGCCATGCCGCCCTAGGTAAAGATTAGATATGTGAAGCGAGGACAAGGCTTGAGAAAAGAGAAGACTATGACCGAGCCGAGGCTTCCGGAGTGGGATGCTTCTCTTCTACATGTCCTGTGCGCGAGCCCGAGTTTCCCTCCTCGGAAATTACATCTTTTGCTATCTGACGGTGAATTTGATAGAGCACTCGTGCGGCAACAACGCCGGGATACCGGCGATAGAGTGGGGGAGTGTAGGCAGTACCAGCTTCTGTACGCTTCTGTGCCATGTAGTGAGAAGCTCGCCCAAAAAAGCATGCTGGTTGATCGCCTTGTTGCACGCTGTTCGTTGTTGTTTTTCCCGACAAAGAAAGCGATCGGTGCTTGCCGCTCGGTTGTATCGGTGTTTAATTTGTTTGGTGCGCCGCCACACTCGCGCGAAGGATTATTGCCGCGGGGGGATTTACGTTACGTAACAACCCCTCCTTGGAAACATCTTCTTAGGCAGCTGTGAAGTTTGCTCTCAACCTTCAAGTAACCCCAAAAAAACGCCATGTCTCACCGAAAGTACGAAGAGCCCCGATCCGGATCCTTGGCCTACCTCCCCAGGAAGCGTGCCGCCCGCCACAGGGGTCGATGCAAGGCTTTCCCCAAGGTCAGTCGAAGATTTGAGCAAGGAGAGTTGGGGGAAGACGGAGACGGGATGGAGGAGAGGAAGATGGACGAGACGAAAGAGAGGATCGGATGTTGACTTGCTGCTGTAGGACGACCCCAAGAAGCCCGTCCACCTCACCGCCACCATGGGTTACAAGGCCGGTATGACTCACATTGTCCGTGACCTCGACCGACCTGGATCCAGTAAGTCGCATGAAACTCTCTCGCAAGGCGTGTCTGACTCTATCTGCAGAGATGCACAAGAGGGAGGTTGTTGAGGCCGTCTCCGTTATCGAGACTCCCCCACTTGTCGTCGTCGGTGCCGTCGGTTACGTCGAGACTCCCCGTGGTCTCAGGTCTTTGACCACCGTCTGGGCCGAGCACCTCAGTGACGAGCTCAAGAGGCGATTCTACAAGAACTGGTACCGATCCAAGAAGAAGGCCTTCACCAGGTACGCTTCCAAGTACACCGAGAACAACGGCGCCTCCGTCGCCCGAGAGCTCGAGCGTATCAAGAAGTACTGTACCGTTGTCCGAGTCCTCGCCCACACCCAGATCTCCAAGACCGGCCTCCAACAGAAGAAGGCCCACCTTATGGAGATCCAGGTTAACGGTGGTTCCGTTGCCGACAAGGTCGACTTTGCCAAGTCTCACTTCGAGAAGACTGTCGACGTTGGATCTATCTTCGAGCAGGACGAGTGCATCGACATCATCGGTGTCACCAAAGGTCACGGTTACGAGGGTGTTACCGCCCGTTGGGGTGTTACCAAGCTTCCCAGGAAGACGTGAGTAGATTCAACATTTAGTATCGAATTGTGCTGATATCATTTAGCCACCGAGGTCTCCGAAAGGTCGCTTGTATCGGTGCTTGGCACCCTGCTATGGTCATGTTCTCCGTGGCCCGTGCGGGTCAGCGAGGTTACTTCTCTCGTACTTCCATCAACCACAAGTGAGTCGGAGTGTCCATATCTTGCTAGCCTATGCTGACCGCTTGCAGGATCTACCGAATCGCCAACGGTGCTTCCGGTAACTCTGGTTCCACCGACTTCGACCTCACTAAGAAGGACATCACCCCCATGGGTGGTTTCGTCCGATACGGTGTTGTCAAGAACGACTTCGTCATGGTCAAGGGTTCCGTCGTCGGTCCCGTCAAGCGAATCGTCACCCTCCGAAAGGCTCTCCGAACCCACACTTCCCGAGCCCACACCGAGAAGGTCTCTCTCAAGTTCATCGACACCTCCTCCAACTTCGGTCACGGTCGATTCCAGGACGCTGCCGAGAAGAACGCCTTCCTCGGTCAGCTCAAGATCAAGTCCGATTCTGCTTAAATGGGCAGGTGAGGTCTTGGTGGGGTCGCTTGGGAGTGGTAGAAGCAAGGGACGACGGGCCGGGATGTGGCCGATTGTATATTCGCGGTAGTCATCATGCAGGTTCTGCCGTTCGGATTGAGTGGTGCTGTCATTGATCTGTATGGAATTCAGTACCGTATGTTGATGTGAGATCTCGTCGGCTACTGGGAGCGCGAATCTGCTTTCGAGTGCCGAGGGGACTGGTTTGCTTGCAGTCTGTCTTTGGTGTCGTTGGTTGTGAATAACTGTAGCATGAGAAGGAGGCGCGAGGATAAGAGCAGGGGTTGCACGCCCAGTCCAGTCACAGCGTACGAGTACAAGATTCAAGTGGCCTCTTCAAGTCATCATACATATGCAGTGGCCGTACCACTATGCCACATACATCCACGAACACTTGCAAGACAACGTTCACGTATACACCCTGGGAACCCAGGTCGCCTTTGATCGAATGAAAGAGGACCCCCTCGGTGCGCCGGTCGGACATGACCGACCTCCATCCATCCATATCGTGGCTTGTTGTATCTATCTGTTCTTTCTTTCACTCCATAGCCACCATGCTTCCCCTATCAGCCCTCTCCCTCTCCCTCCTCCCCCTGGCTCTATCCCTCCAGCTCCCCCACATCCCCACCAACCCGCAAGAAGCCCTCTCCTTTGCCGACTCGTACGTCCACAACAGCTTCGACAACGCCGAGGCCAATCTGGGCTATGCGGACGATATGACGTTGCAGAGCGTGGGCGAAGAGTTTGTGGTGCTTCATCATGCCAAGTTCCCTGTGAGTGCTCTATGATAGCTGGGATGGACGGGTCCAGGGCGTTTTCATTTGACGGAAGGTGGCCCCTAATCGAAGTCTTCGTGCATGAGCGACAGGAGCTGATGAAAGCCTGGAATGTAGAAGCACCAGGTTAAGATCAAGAGTACCGATGGCTGGTGTGACCCCAATGTCAGGTCGTACTCTGGTTATCTCGACGTCGGCTACGGCAAGGAGCTCTTCTTCACCTTTTTCGAGTCCCGATCAAAGCCTTCTGAAGACCCTGTCGTCATGTGGATCAACGGTAAGCTCTTCTTCTACTCTATTCTGTACAGTAGCTGACTAGGTATCAAAGGCGGGCCTGGTTGTTCGGGGTCTCTCGGCATGCTAATGGAGCTCGGCCCTTGCTCTATCGCCAAAGATCCCAAGTCTGCCAACGACACCATCTACAACCCCCATGCGTGGAACCAAAAGGCGAACGTGTTCTTCTTGGACGAGCCTATTGGAGTAGGATTCAGCCACGCCGAGAATGGGCAGACTGTTGGAACAACCGAAGAGGCGGCCATCGATGTACAAGCTTTCGTCACTATCGTATGTCCCTCCACTAGACTCCTCTTACGAGTAGAAGCTGATATTGTTCAGTTCTTTGAAACCTTTAAAGAATTCGAAGGTCGTGCTTTCCACATGGCGGGAGAATCTTACGGCGGAAGATACTTGCCTGTGTTCGCTAGCGCTGTGGTGGATGGCAACAAGCAACTCGTCAAGGACGGCAAGAAGCCGATCAACTTGGAGAGTGTTCTGATCGGTAACGGTGTCACTGATTGGTGTAAGTCTTGCAACAATGTGGTGATGACAGGCGCTGACGTATTGCAGTCACCACTACCGAGTCATACTACCCCTTCGTACGCGACATTCCGTTCCCAGAGAGGGCATAGAGCTAACGAGACGGTAGCAATGTACCTTGCATGGCGATCTCTCCGAACCTGTCCAGTCTATCGGTGCTTGTGTGGCCATGGCTGAAGCTGTACGTCTTCCGCCATCCCAATACATACTGTACGTCGGCTCACCATCTCTGTAGGTGCCCAAGTGCCACAAGCTGGCCAAGAAGGGTTGCATCGAGTCTCACGACTACACTACCTGCTCATTGGCCGTCAACTACTGCGACGAAGTACTCGGCGAAACATTCCTCTCTGCCGGGGTCAACCCGTACGACGTCTCTATGCCTTGTACCGGGGAAGAGCTCAGCGACTCGCTCTGTTACCCTGTGACTAAAAGGATTGGAGAGTATCTGAACCTTCCAGATGTCAGACGAGTACTGGGTGTGGAGGAGAAGAAGGGTAAATGGGAGAGCTGTGATGGGCCGGTGTTTACTGCCTTCAATACAAACTTGGACAACACTGGCCAGACTTGGCTCTACGTGTCTGCTCTACTCGAGAGGGGCGTGAGGGTACTCAATGTAAGTCGCCTGCCATGTTTATTGGGCGGCTGAATAACAACCGTTCAGTACGTCGGTATGCTCGACTTTATCTGCAACCACATCGCCAACCAGCTCTGGATGGAACGCCTCGAGTGGACGGGCAAAGAAGGCTACAATGCCGCCGACTTTGGGGACTGGACAGTTGAGGGAAAGAAGGCGGGCGAGTTCAAGACTTATGGCAACCTCACTGTGCGTTCCACTGGTGTAGCTGGAAAGGACTGAAGCTGACATGAACGTGCAGATGCTGAAGATCAGGGGTGCCGGTCACATGGTACCATACGACAAGCCCGTGGAGGCGCTGACGATGGTGAACGACTGGCTGAGCGCTTCTGCCTTGTAGAGAACAAAGAAGTGGCAGTAAATAGAAGAAAGTGATCGAAATCTGATGCATATATCACATGGACATGTATGCCCGTCGCAGTCAAAGGGGCATGAAAGACAAGATCCGCTGGGATATTGGCGGTGATTTGTGAGCCCGGGCCGGCCGCCGGTAGGCCGAGGTCCGCCATCAGTAGATGCACTTTCCATTGTCCTCGCCATATAAAAGCCGTCCCAGGCCATCCCAGTCCCCCACCAAAAGACATGTCCACCAAAATCCTCAACGTCGCCGTCCTCGGCTGTGGTGAAGTCGCACAGATCGCACACGTCCGTTTCCAACCCCCTCCATCTCCTTCTTGAGCTCATCCCACTGTAGATCCCCAACCTCGTCGTCGCATCAGACAAGTACAAGGTTACAGCTCTCTGCGATGTCTCCCAACAGTCTGTAAAGCTCTGTAGCTCTCGCTTCAGCATCGAAAATATCTTCACTTCTCTGTACGCACCCTTCCATAGTATCTGCACTTGATCAGAGCTGATACTTGATAGCACCGAGATGCTGGCCTCTTCCGTTCCCATCGACCTCGTGTTTGTACTGACCGCCGACCAGTACCACGCCGAGCACGTTATCCAATGTGCCAACGCTGGCAAACACGTGATGATCGAGAAACCCATGGCCCAGACGCTTGCCGAATACAATGCCGTCGAAGAAGCCCGGGTTAGAAACAACGTAGTCATTTTTGTGGGGTATATGCGGAGGTATGCCCCCGCGCTCGAGAGGCTCAAGAAGGAAATTGAGGGAAAGCAGATCAAATATGTCAGGGTGAGGGACATTATCGGCAATGTGAGTCTTTGCATAGGTTGAAGCTGCGTCTCGCTGATACCTTTGCAGAACAGCTACTTTACCAAACAGTCTGGTATGCACCAGCACTACTTTAAGGATTTCCCTCCCTCCGCCTCTTCCGAACTCGCCTCCCGTCGCTCTGCCAACCTTCTTGAGAACCTCGGCGCCGATGCCGAGAAAGACCCCCGCAACGCTGCCTCCTGGGGCCTCCTGCACAGCCTTGGCAGCCACGACCTGTCGGCTATGAGGGATGTCATTGGTATGCCAGAGAGGTGTGTGGTAGCTACGCGAAGCGACGATGAGGGTGGGAATGCGTGGTGGTGGACTGCCTTGTTCCAGTACAAGGGATTCAGAGCGTACTATGAGGTGAGCCCTTGAGAGGACAATGAACCAGAGTTGACAGAGAGCAGATGGCTATCGACGAAGTGGCCATCTTTGACGCTCATATTGAAGTGTACACCAACGACTCTCGAGTCAAGATCCAATACGACACGTGAGTACTCTCGACTCCCTTATCCGATCCAAATGACATGTAATAGGCCATACGTCAAGGGCCTCCCCATCAAACTTACAATCCAGAAACAGCTCCCCAACGGCGATTTCTCAGAGCAGGTCATCCGTCCCACTTACGAGGACCCCTACACCCTCGAGCTCGGCCTGATCTACGATGCAGTCGTCAATGGCGCAGACTACAAGACCACGCCTTTGGATGCTAAGAACGAGACGATCTTGGTCAAGATGATCATGGATGCGTTGGTGGATTAGGAATGTACGAAGAAGGATTGGATTCTGTATCTATGCATCCCGAGACTGAAAAAAATCATTAATCTACAACGTTTAGAGCCACTCGACGCTGAAGCTCTGTTAGCGATGTCACATAGTCGAAAATAAGATCTGACTCACGTTCCGGGAGGCTTGGAGGTAATGTCGTAAACGACACGGTTGACACCCTTGACCTCGTTGGTGATCCTCGAAGAGATCTTCTTCAAGACCTGAGGAGGGAACACAAACCAGTCCGCCGTCATAAAGTCCTCTGTCGACACCGCCCTCACAGCCACCACCTGGTCGTACGTCCTCATGTCACCGGCAACACCGACAGCCTTGACGGGCAAGAGCGCGACGAAAGCCTGAGAGATCTGGTCGTAGAGACCGGCAGCACGGATCTCCTCAATGTAAATGTCGTCGGCGTGCTGAAGGATGGCGATCTGGTCACGGGTGACTTCACCGAGGATACGGATAGCGAGACCGGGCCCGGGGAAGGGGTGACGGCCCACGAGGTGTTCGGGGATGTTGAGGAGTCGACCAAGGGCTCGAACCTCGTCTTAATTGGGGATCAGCGCAGCTCTTGAACCATCAAAGACAAGACTCACCCTTGAACAATTCACGAAGAGGCTCAATCAACTTCAACTTCATGTCCTCCAAAAGACCACCGACGTTGTGGTGGGTTTTGATGGTAGCACTGGGACCCTTGAAGGAGATGGACTCGATCACATCGGGGTACAAGGTACCCTGGAGCAACCACTCAATCTTGCCCTTGGCCTCACCGCCCTTCTCGTTGAGCTCCTTCTCAGCCGCAGCCTCGAGCTTGGCAGCCTCCTCCTCAAAGACCTCGATAAAGGTGTTACCGATGATCTTTCGCTTCTTCTCGGGGTCCTCGACGCCAGCAAGACGGGCGAGGAAGAGGTCGGAAGCGTCGACAACGGTGAGGTTG